CAGAGATTCAGAGGAGCAGAATTTTTTGTTTTGGGCATAGAAGTGGAGACTGAGTTGCTTAAGTCTGTCTGATATTAGTAATGAAATGCCCACTGTGACAGTTACTTAAAATATATCTCAGTTTATATTTGTTTATCTTTTAAGGTACATCTAATTACTTAATTGTTGTTTGTTTTTTTTAATTCTCCATTAACCTGCTTTTTTTTTCCTGAAGTTTAATAATCCAAAATAGAGCAATACAGGATCATGTAATCAGAGGTTCCAGTCTAATACGTAATCCCTATTAAAAAAAGTTAAAACATAAAATATATAGCACTAAGCCTGTTTTGATGCTTACGATAGCTTTTCTTCTTCTTTCACATGTTTAGAGAAACAAATAAATTAAATGCATGCAATGTGGAGAGATAATGAAGTATTTGTTACGCTGTTCCTTCATTCAATGTTTAATGTGTGTTTTACCCACCATGAGCAACAATGACTAACTTGCAGTGATTCTGGTGAGGTTTTAAAACAGAGAGTCGTACTGTTGGAATCTTTATAATCTTCCTTACCCAGACATACTTCTACTGTAGGCAGACACTGTTTGAAAGGAAAATTAATTTTTTTGCCACAGCAATTTCAAAGATAATTATCCTGCACACATTAAAGAAGAATGAAGTGTTTTAAAGAACTGTAATTCTAATTGGTAAATGTCAACAGCTGTTGCAGTTACTCTTACTTGTGTATATTCTTTTAATGATTACGCTCCTGCACCACAAGCCACATGAAAATATATTCACTAGGTGTGAAATTCCCATATGTCACAGCTTCAAGACTAGGTAAACAGCTCAAAGATAAGTTAATGCTGATGGGAAATGGTATTTTTCTAGCTTGAGTTGTCTGCAAGATGAACATTTTTTATTGAACTTCGTAAAAGAAGAAGTTGCATGAGTCGGAGAATTATTAGGTTTTAGCATTCAGTGGAAGATTTATATATTTGAATATATATCTCCAAGAACTATAATGAGCCTTTCATTTGTTAGATTATCTCCTTCACCTGCCCCTGGAGATTTCAAAATATTTTCCCATTGTCCCTCCAAGATAAAACTAGTCCAATTCCTATAAATTGCCATCAAATTTTAGAAAGTACATGAGGTTTCACCACTGGTTGTATTCTTTTGTACCACTACGAACAAGTATACTAAGGTAAGATATGGAATTTTTTGCTTTAAATCTCCTTCACTTTGTCATTTAGTTTACTTTAAAAACATTTCTGTCACATTTTAATGAAGGCACATTTTTATGAAGGAAATTTATTGATTTCTGTGAAGCAGGTTTTCCAACCGAAAACTGTTTTATCTATTGTAATCTTAGATTTTTATTTTCATGTTTAGGATCAAGGCGTGTAACTCAGGTGTAAATATAAATGGTCCTGCTTTCCTCTTAAGAGTTTCATATAGGCCTGTATGTATGTGTTAAGTTTTTGAAATGAGCTTTTGTTGCCTCTGGAATGACCAATCTAAATGTGCAGGAGACATTTCAGTTTTTCAGTGTGAATTTTGGAGATGCTGGGAGTGTTAAACCAGGCCATCATTCCACATTTAACTGTTAGTTTTAAGAAATGAAACTGCCACTGATGCACATCTATAAATGAAAATCTTATTTGGGGTCATATTCCTATATCTGTGGTAGATGCAGGAGAAAAGAGATGAAGCTCATGATCCAGGAGGTTTCCCTCACTGCAGTTTTGAGGGGAGAATGCTCTCATCCTGTTACTGTAATGGCAGTTCTGGACAGGTATTGGTTTGGGCATGCTGGATCTTCTCTTCCCTTTTGTGCTCAGATCTGTGTATGTACGTTATAATACATTACATACATGATAATAAGGAATGAGAAAAATTAAAAGTGATCTGCTTGTAGACTGGAAAGGAAGCCTTAATATAAAATCATATGTAAATATTTTAACTATATGAGCATGTTTATAATACATACAGGCCTTTAAAATATGCTAAACATTTTACAGCTTTGTACATATGCTGTTTTCAGACAATAACAGCTTCTGAGCAATAGAGGTGACTTATGCCTGGGCATTCAGGGAATGGGTATAGCTGCTTTCATCCTCCTTCCCTAGAGCTGTTAATTATTCTGTACAGAGTCAGTCTTAGCCAAATCTGAATCTTTTATAAATAGTTTTGTGCTAAGGATTAATGTAAAGTATTATGAAACTTAGCCTTCTTTTGCATGCCATGAACTTTAAAAACTATTATTTGGGAGCAAGTGATACTTTTACAAACTTGCTCACACAGAGGGCATTTACAAAAGACTTTCCAAAGTGTTTATGTTCATTTTTGGTTCCTGTTAGAGAAAGGTGAACTCCTGACCATCTCTGCATACACTGCCAGGAAAGGGGACATTGCAGGCTCTCGGGGGCTTTAGCGTCGAACAACATTTTATGGCTACAGAGGTCCAGAAGTCCCAGCTGAGCAGGAGAGAGCAGTTTCAGCAGCCACGCTGCCTGGCCTGACGTGGTACCACGTATGTGCGGCATACCTAGCCTGTCCCGCGTTTGGGAGTGCCGGATGAAAATTACACCTAGTCTGCTGTTCGTACAGAGCAACATTGACCAGTACAAGAGGGGAAACATTTCAGCCCTTGCTCCTTCCCTAGTCATCCTCTGAGCTGATGATGCAAGTGCAACAGTTTCAGAAAAATGGGGCTACAGGCCTGCTCTCACAGCAGCCTTTTTGTGCCGTTGCTCTCAGGGAAATGCTTGAGCTTAGTTTGAATCAGAATTAGTAGAAGCTAACCTCAAACACAAAATTCAGTTGTACACTGGAAGCAAATTGCAACAAATCTGAGGCAATGCAAAAGGAACTGAATGCTTTTTTTTAACCATTTTCTGAATATGATGGCAGGATCTGGACCTTGAGGGTGGAGTAGCTATGGAAGCCTCACTAACGACAAAGGGGAAAATGTCCAAGTTTGCCATTGACGTTACTGGAGCCAAGACTTCATTCTGTTACATGTGGTAGCATAGATTTATGACTCAAAGCATTCAGAAATTATAACACTGAGAGCTTTATTAATAGTGAACCCTCCTGAACTTGGTAACCAACCCAGAATTCACAGCAGATTTAGTAAATACAGTTTATACCTATAGGAGCATTGTAACATAATTTCAGTTTTCATTACAATTAAGTATAACTTCTTATGAGTCTCAGTTGTTGAGTGGTCTGTCTCCTTCCCTTCCCACTACTTTCTCCCCTTGCTTTATGTCTCCCCAGAAACCAGGGATGGATCTAGCAGATACCTACATTATGTTTGTTCGACAAAACCAGGATATCCTTCGAGAAAAGGTCAATGAGGAAATGTACATAGAGAAGTTATTTGATGTAAGTACCTACCCTTGCAAAACTTGCTAGTATCACTACATCAGAATGGAGAAGCTGCATTTTGATGATATTCAGCAAGCCATTCAGATTTCTTCCCTGTTGATCATTTTTGCTTTTGCTTTTTATTTATAATCTTCAGCTATCAAGGGTCACCTTTCTTTAAACATTTTCTGCACGAAAATTTTAAGTGCTAGAAGGCATAAATAAAATTGGTAGAAGGTTATTACTTGAAATAGTCATCTTTCCATTGTGAGTAGTCCAATTTTATTCCATCTTTTGATTTTGAATGTGTTAATGGAAAAAATTGGATTGGTGTGGCTTGTGGACTCCAGTGCGGAGTTAATTTCCGTAAATAAAGAACTTGTACATATCACTTCCTGCTCTTATACAGAAAGAGGCCAGTTATGCCAGGTGCATCTACAGATTTGACTGGTACTTTCATGGAGTGACTTTTAGAGTTTTGTTTTATGGTATTTTTAATTTAAGCCTTGTAAGATCTTAAAGTTGACCAAATATTTATTGAATTGTCATGCTTGTTTCCAAAATTTTGATCCCGCTTCTGCAAATTCAGAATAATTCTCTTGCTCATCCTCATAGACCCGCACATTGCTAGCCAGCCTGTATCTTCACAATGATTTCCCTCACTTCTACACTGGCTTCTGCAGCCTCCCTCCACTCATTCCTTTGCCCTGATTCCTCCTTTTTTTGTTAGAAACAATTGCCTACCCTACCAAAATTTTCCACATGCAAGGCTCTCCTATAAGGCCACTAGCAACACTCTTGGGCATATTTCTGCTCGTTCAAGCTCTGACCACCCATTCTGAGAAGCTGTAGGCAGGTGAAATTGTATCTTTTGTATAAATTCAATGTATTACACATGTAAAATAAAATTAAATTAGAAGTTATTTTATTATAAACTCGGATCAATATACAGGACAATTATGTCAGTCACTTATAATTATGCAGGAATTTGAACAGAGGAAGAAGTCATCTCTGGCACTGTGCAGTGCAGTTCATTACAAAACAAATTCTGGAACATAATACACACTTTGAAATGTATTTATTTGTGTGTCATCTCCTAAGTATTTTAGAAAGCTTTGCTGGCAGTTTCATTTAATTATGCAAGTTACAGCAAATGTTTTCATAACAGCAATTCACAGCCTTTACTGTGACACTACAGTTGTGGCAGTTGCAGAAGGTCCCATAACATAGACGCTCAGCCATGGTATGTCATGTCAGTGTTTGTTGTTTGTTAGACTGGGTGGTCAAAATGAGACTTATCTCTCAGATTTTGCATTTCCAGACACTCCCAGGCAGCTTTACAAAAAAAGTATCATCTGTTTTAATAAGCTAAGTGCTAATATGTGTGAAAAGAATGATTTTATAAAAGCTTTGATGCCCTGCAGGGGTAGAAAAATTATCATCCATCCAGCTGGCACCTTCACAAAGTATTAAAACCGTATTAGCAACTTCTGCTTCAGTTTGCTTTTGCACTGAATCTGCAAGCATATGTTTCATTTTCAAGTTTCTATTTTTTGTTTTTCTTTGGGGTTATTTTTGCTTATGTTGTAATTTTCTGAATGTTGATAAAATTACGTTCCTAAGGCCATGGCTAACTCTCACTGGAAAGACCACATTGACTTTGCTGATGTAGTGGGATTGGACGAAGCCTTAGGCTATGTCCATAGCAGTAAACTGGACCGGCACAGGCGTGAGAACTAGGGAGTGATCATCCATACCATTAAGTCATCAGCGTGGTTCCTGGCATGATTTTGGGTTAGGCCAGCTAGCACTGGCCCAATGACAGAGCCTCAGTACAATTGAGTTGTCATGGACAAGGACCTCCTCCAAGTTTCATTTCAGCAATCAAGCATTTCAGCCCAAGAAAACATCTGTGTGGATGCAAGCCATGACATAGCACTTGTCTTTGAGACGCAAAACCATTCGTGTCCCCTTTTACTCGGTAGTATGCATCATATGCTGTCATGGCCAATGCTTGTAGCTGCAAGGAAGGAAAAAAGATGCACATGGTAAGTATTCTGTGTATCGAGTATCTATTTGTATCTTTATTTTTCTTTATTTATGGTGATATCACATTTCTACATGACATCGCACTAGGAGATATAACCAGCTGGACAGAATCAGATAAATGCACTAACAAATCTGTAAGCTCATAGCATGCAGAAATTTAAAACAAAGGCATCTCACTGTGTTAACTCACCTTTCCTGAGATTTAGAACAGTATGACTGAGCAAGATTTTACTCATGATTGTTTGAAGGGTTTTTTTAATTAGTGATATAATAAAACCTAGGTAATGTTTATAAATTCAAGTCTATCAAGTTATATTTCAATAGTAGAAAAAAAAATGTTAAAGCTTTTATGTAAATATACTTCAAGCCATTCAACTTGCTACAACTGTAGATCACTGTTGATTTCCCCTTAAAATGCATAGTATTTGTATCAGATAAGAAATTATCAGCCAAGTGAAATAGGAAAAGTGCACGTCTGTGCTTCAGCCAGGGAAACACCTTATCCGGAATAACCAAAAAAACCCCAGACTGTTCTGTATACTAGAAGTCTTAGTTATAAATATAGACAAGATCAGGTCTTGGATGCTATTTTAATTTAAAAAAATGTATAATTACAAACTATGTACAGACTTCATTGACTTGATTCAGGGCTGCTATATACTAAGAGCTATTACAATGACCAAGAGAACAGGATGTCTATCATATTGAAGTAATGTACATCTCAAAGAAAATCGTTTAAGAATAGTATTGATACAAGTAGAAATGTGTGCCAGTGGGTCACAGTATGCTAAGGCCAGAAGTTGGAAAACTTTCTGTCTACCTGAGAAGTCTCAAACTAGTGAGACAAAAAATGTACATTGTTTTATGGTGCTTGATAAGCCTGGGAAAGCACTGCCATACTATACAAAACGTGCAAAATCAGGAGAATTGAATTTAAGCTTCTGATACGAATCCTTACATATGAGAGAGGCTCAAACCTCCAGGGGGCTTTGAAAGAAGGCTGGGCTGCTAGTTTTTCTGCCCCGGTTTTAAACCGTTTAAATGCTATGCCTCAGTACCTCTGCTGATCATGCAGCAGAACCAGGGTGGTTATTTTTTTCTTTCCTTTTTTCTAAATAACTTTGCTTCTGGGTACATTTCGTTCTTCACCCCCTCCGGAAGGAGGACAGACAGCATGCAGAACAATACGGCTTGGGGCTCCAGGTAGCACTGGTCTCTCCCAGGTCAGCATGTGCCGCCTTGTTCTAAACATTAAATCACCAGATTTGGAGTCACAAAGAGCTTTGGCTTGGTCAGTTTGTCAGAGACACTTAGGACTTTTTGTCTTCCTTTGCGGTGTGGGACATGGTCTTCCTCCTACGATCAGCTGGGAATTTTATCTTATCTAATTCCTTCCTGTCGCAGGAACTCAGGGTATCCGTCTCCTGCTCTCATGCTGTAGCTGCTTATAGTCGAGGGGTTTTGCTTGTTTGCTTGCTTGCTTGTTTGTGGTGTTAAAAACAAACAAACAAATCTTAAAGGGCACTAGAAAGGTTTTGTAATGCGTTGTACATGTGGCTGGTCTGCGGTAGCTCTGGGCTAAATGACTGCTCCACATTCATGATTTCCATAGGCTTAATTCAGTGAATGATCCATGTGATTCCTTCCAGTCCCATACTCCACTGAAATAAACTAAGACAATGAAGTTACACTGGGACAGGTTTCTCTAATAAATTCAAATAAAGCAAACTCTTTTTGACCAGTAGTGCTGCAGTGACTCAGGTAGATTCAATGTATAACAACTAAATCATGAAGACAGACACTCCTGTGTTTGTTTCATTATTACAGTTTTTAGTTATGATTAAAAGCATCGCCCCCTGACACTTTTTTAAAGTGTAATCACTTAGACCAATAACTCTTTTTTTTTTAAATAGTTTAGTAAAATGTTTTCAAAATAAATTTGTGCTTTAATTATTTTTTTTAACCAGTGTTTGAAAAATACTTATTTTGAGCAAAAGACTGTAAGAGTAGCAGTTGGTGAATGGGAAAAATAAATAATTAAATAGAATTACACAAACCTAGAATAAATCTTAAATATTACTTATTAATAAGGCCCCTCATATTTATAATGATAATCTGCTTGATGGATGCTGTACAAACATTTGTGCAGCCTGTCAAAGAACAGTGCTGTGTATCTGATCACAAAAGTAACAGATGTAAAAAATATCCAACTATAAAATTCCCATGGGGTCTGGTTCCACACTATCAAAATTAATGCGAGTTATACTCTTGACGTCAATAAAGCAGTGCTGTATCCATAAATATGCCAGGTTAGCATCATTGACTAGACTTAGAATAGCGTTTCTACCTGCATTTTTAAGATGGGACTAATATGTCTCGCTGTTCTTGAGCATTTTAAATGACATTAGACTTACAAATTAAAAACTGTTTCCTTTAAAACAAAACTGGATTTTGCTGACAAACCAGCTTAAAAAAGATAAGTCATTTTGCGTAAAACACTGTGTAAAACATCGATGCAATACTTACTTTCCGTAGTAAGCCAAAGTTCCTAAGTGCCACTTGGGTGAATTCTCACCTTCTTGTACCTGCTAATTGCATGTGAAATATGGATATTCTTGGCTGAACACAGAAAAAATTTTGTTGCAAATGTTTTCCCTTCAAAATAATCCTGATTTATTTGCTATTAAAACCATCATATTATAGGTTATATTTGTGTTGAGTCCATTGTGAAAAACTTACAGTGTAAACAGATGTACAATTCTAGTTCTATTAAGACCATATATGTAATGAAATCTTTATGTAATAATTGATTGCTGCTTTGAGAAGTAAGGAATGATTTAAGAGAACAGTTCTAACACATCGCTGTTCTATCGTGGATACAACTTCAAGGTTTTTTAATTTTTTTAGGCTCTAATTTCTGGGAAACCTGTGCACAAGTCTACCATAAACACAATCATGTAGTCAGAGTG